CCAGGGAGGCTGAGGCCCAGGGAGGCTGAGGCCCAGGGATGCTGAGGCCAGAGAGGCTGAGGCCCAGGGAGGCTGAGGCCGGAGAGGCTGAGGCCAGAGAGGCTGAGGCCAGAGAGGCTGAGGCTAGGGAGGCTGAAGCCAGAGAGGCTGAGGCCAGAGAGGCTGGAAGCCAGAGAGGCTGAAGCCAGAGAGGCTGAGGCCCAGGGTGGCTGAGGCCGGAGAGGCTGAGGCCCAGGGAGGCTGAGGCCAGAGAGGCTGAGGCCGGAGAGGCTGAGGCCCAGGGAGGCTGAGGCCCAGGGAGGCTGAGGCTGGCTCAAGGTGCAGTGGGAGCTGGGCCTGGCGTGGGCTCATCGCTGCACACACATCTCTCACGCCCGCACCCACCCCACTGAAGCAGCCTCCCTCTGGGCCGCTGGTCAGGGCTTGTCATAAAGCACAGCGCGTGGTGTCAGCTGTGAGGTGGGGAGAGGTCGCTGTGCCCTGCAGGTTCCAGGGCATCCCCAGGAGCGCCCCCACCCGGCTTTGCCCGCATCTCCTCAGTGCTCCCCCAGCAGCAAACCAGAGGCCGGGAGCGGGTCACCACACCTCTCGGCCCTCTTCAGCCTGGCATCCGCGTCTTCACCCCTGCCGACACTCTCGCCTCGGTCCAGCCCTTCACGGCTGCTGGGGACCCTCAGACCGGCCTGGGGTGTGTGGCCCAACGGCAGGGGCCCCTCCGGGGGATTCCCTGGGGAGTTCAGAGAGGCGTGGCTCCCTTCCCCCGTGGGCCCCGCGTGGCTCGGCCGCTGCGGCCCCGGCCTGCAGGGGGGGCTGTCGGGCAGCTCCTGGCTTGAGCAGAGGCTGCGGAGAGCCCCCTGGGAGCGCCGGCCCCGCTCGGCACCCCCACCCCAGTGCAGCTGTCTGGCGTCTCCAGACCCCAGAGGGATGACAACCGCCCGGCTCAGGCTGCAGGGGACAGTGGGGCCTGGGTTGTGGACGCTGGACTCGGCCTGTCGAACCGTCTTGACCAGTTCCTCAAAGACTCGTTTCAAAGGAAAACCAGAGGCCTTCAGGCCGGCCGCGTCCTCTCCCCCGCTGTCCAGAGCCCCACTGCGAGGTCCGGATGCCACCCTCGCCCCGGCCCTGCCCCCGAGAACACGTCTGGGCCGGGGTGCCCCAGACGGCCGGGCCCGAGCTGCCTCTCGCCGAACGTGTTTCGTGTTGGGGCCACAGAAAAATAGCTCGGAGGAGCCTTTGCTGGCCTCTCGCCGGGCCCGACACGGCCTGAGGGGTCCGAGGCTGCAGGTCAGTCGCGGTCCGTCTCCTGGGGTCCCTGGGGGGGGGCGGGGACCCAGGGTCTGAGTTCGGCGTCTCCTCTGCCGGGCTGCTGGTGGTGGCCTCCGTTTTGGGGATCAGAGAAACCAACTGCCCGCGGTCAGCTCTGCTGCCATCCCCCAGCCCAGCTCCCGGGCCGCCGGGGAACCAGTGCCGGGTGTTTGGCCTGAGTGGACGCTCCTCACTTTCACCTGGGCCCCGGCCGGCCGGGGCGGGCATCCAGCTGGCCCGGGGAGTCTGGCCGGAAGTGAGTCAGCCTGCGGGAATGTCGGGCGGCTCCTCCCCCGCGGCTGGCCACACCCCACCCCCACCCCTCTGGGGACGCTGCTGCTGCTCCTCACTGGGGCCTCCCACCCCACGGTGAGGGGCTCACAGTGGTCACTGCCTCGTGGGG